CATTATGATTATTTTTTTTTTTTTACTAAAATATGCAATTAATTTATTTCTAATTTTATTTTTGGTAAATTAATATGTAAACTACGATTATTACATTGAAATTCGTCACTATAGATTAATGTTTAAATGACAAACATTTGAATTTATCATTTAAAATATTTTTTTTCTGACTATATTCAAATATCCAAGTGACAAAATCTCAATTGTAAAAGTGACAAGTTCGTCAATATAAGTTGATTGGTTGGAAAAAAGTGTGTATTTTATATATTTATTAGCGTATTTTTATATGCTTGATTTTACCGCACTTATATGTTTTTCGACCTATTTGTTATTTGGGTGGATTTAAGTACTATGATATTTTTATGATTAAATTTCAGTATATTGGCGTATTTTGTGGATGACGAATCAAAGTCGATAAACTATTGGGCCATAGAATTGCTGAATTTATAAGTTAATGTTTAAATGACAAAATATCAGTATGTCTTTTAAATACGAACTTTTAGTGACAATTTAAGAATTTCGATGACGAAATTTCGATTGTAAACATGATGAGTATCATCACTAAAAGTAAATTTTAGTGACTGATCAGAAAAATGTCATATAGAAATTTTGTGACGCGACTATTGTGAACAATGTTATGATGATAAATTATTCTCGCTACATACTTTTAGTGATGAAAAATAGAAATAAATTTTATGCTGAACAATTCGTCGCAAAATACCAAATATCTTGTTGTGTTAATACATATATTAATAAAATGGCCCCTGAATTTTTAATTTTGAACAACTATAGTAAATACAATATTGTGACCAGACATGTTTATGTCGAGATGGAGGGGATATAACGAAGAAAAAGATGCGGGTGGCCGACCTACCTGAAGAATAGAGCACGAGTAGAGTAGACTTTTGGTACTGATATATAAGTTGAAGAGGGATAGGACTTAGGCCACCCGCTTGCCAAATCTATTATTTCCCAAAGGCAATTCATTTTTTATATTGGTTGTTTGGTAGTTGGTAAATAAACATTTTTTTTTTTTTTGGAAACGAGAAGTATTATACCATATGAATAAATGTGGCCAAAGCCAGAACAAAAATCCACAAATAGAAGGAGCACCAACTCCTTACATAGACACTACAAAAGATAGAGATGTTCTCCTGACAAAGGCAAAGGCTTAGATCCCGAGAGCCCTACTCGATCTCCCCCCTGCAAACTCCATAAACACTGGAATCCAGAAGTATTAAAAACTAATTAGCCACTGAACCCCCAACATGACCTAGCAAATTATCAAAACCTACAAACAACACAATAAAGCAGCTAAAGAAAACTGCACAACTACACAAAACTTGTGCTACCCTGCACTGAACCTAAACTAACCAGAGCAACCTTGAAATTCCTTCTATTCAGCTATTGCAAGTTTGACAGTGTCAGCTTCAGACCTCCACACCTTTTGAAAAACTCAAAGATTTCGATTTTTCCACATCCACCAGAGAAGGTAGCAAGTCAATTGGACTCTGTCTTCTGAGGTTGGTTCCTTGTTAATGGTGCAAAGCTTGATCCACCAGTGCTTGAAGCTCCATGACTCAGAGTTTGAGCCTTCCCAAGAGATTGAGGCAAGCTTCCAAATCAGCTGGGCCCTGTGACATAGGAAAAACAGATGTTCTTGTGTTTCTTCTATTTCTCCACAAAATCTGCAGGTTTGATCTAAATTGGAGCTTTTTGAGTTGAGGTTGACCATCACTGCCAAGATGTTGTTGAAACCTCTCCAAATGGAATGTCTAATTTCCTTTTTGACTTTTATGCTCCAGGTTCTTCTCCTAGATTGTTTAAGGCCACTTTTATTTCTGCTAGATCCTGCAATGTCCATCTATCTCCATTCTTCTAAATGAGAGATTTGTAAGTTCTAACTACAGTAAATTATCCTTGAGAGTTCCCCACCTACTGTAAAGAATCTGGTTTGTGTGGATCAAGCCCTTTCATTCTCAGAATGGCATTTGCTTCCTCTGGTAGGAATTGGTTTTCCACATAAGATTTCTCACCCATTTGAGGTTGAGATCTCTAGGAATTGAGCCACTAGGTATTTTCTTGTTGAGCCCTGCTATCCATGGTTGGTCCCATAGACTCACTGAGTTGCCATCTTCAATTTTCCATACCACATTATCAAAGAAAAGATCCTTCACTTTCCACCAGCTTGACCATAATCATGAGCAGTTGGATTTTTGTTTAGCTACAGCAAGATCACAGTTGGGAAAATATCTTCCTTTCAAGATTTGACTGACTAGGAGATGAGGGTGGTTAACCAGCCTCCATATCTGCTTCAATACAGGGACTTATTATGCAGGTCATGATGAAAGCCTATTCCACCCATCTCAGTTGGTAGAGATAATTTTTGTCAACTTTGCCAATGAATTCCAGCAGATTCTCCCATGTTATTCTTCCAACAAAAGTTAGCCATGGCTGATGATATCTTCATAGTGACTGTTTGGGACAATATGAAGTAGGACATATTGTAAGTTGGTAGGGCTCCCAATACTGCTTTGAGAAGGACTTCTTTACCTGCAAGTTGGTAAATAAACATATTTTTATAAATAACATACATATCCTTTTATAGTAATTGTTGTATCTAAAATTTGTCTGATCTGTATTAGCTCATCAAACGCCGATGATGTAGATAACTGATTCACATCGACAGTACCTTAAAGTCCTATTATGCAAAACCAACCAAACTTCTAAAAACATAAAAACACATCGACATGGAATGTGTGAAGGACATTTACTCCACCCTCTATGACGATCTCACTCTGGGCTCTGCAAGGCCATCGTCATTGTGACGTAAGAGAGACAATTATCTCACATCGGTAGTGACCACAGATGTACCAGGCTTCCTTCAGCCGATCTAGTCTGTAAAGGATTGTCGTCCAATACTGGTTCGCATCGCCCTAAAAATCAGCGCTACTTGAGCAAGTTGTTGTGCCAAGTGGCACCTTGTGTGTGGCAGATCCCCTAAAAGTCCACCACGTGCCCCGCGAATAGTATTATTTATTTCTCTCCCCCTTGTATAAATAATCATGCCCGCGTAGATAAAAAAAATCAAAAAATAGTTTTTTTTATTATATAATTATTGTAATACATAATGCATATTCAACCTCCAGCCCTTTCTAACGTCGCCCTCCTTCGTGTACTCTTCACCACCGTCCGACCCTCCACCCTCTGCACGTTCAACCTCTGCCTCGTCGTGACTTCTTCGTTGTGTTCTCTATGATAGTTGGGTATTAGGGTTTCGAGGAAGGGAGAAGTCAAAACCCCGCTCCTCAGCCTCGCCACGACTTCCCGGATGGTGGAGACGACGAAGCGCCCTTCCCCAGGCCTAACGGCGAACAAATCTAGAGCCGCCTGGACGCGTACCCGCTGATTTGGTACTGCAACAGCCTGTACACCAACGCCGTCGTGGATTGATCCTTTAGTAGCAGTGGCACGTGGTCGTCCTCCTAGGGAAGGCGGCGGAGAAGGACAAGCCGACGGCACTCCGGGGACGACGGGGGGGGGGGGGTGGAGAAGATTTTGTGGTGGATGAATAGCGAGCTGTGGTGTTTTGACCGATCAGCGACCGTCGGTCAAAGTCGAAATTTTATTTAATATATAGTTAATTTAAATATAATAAATAATATTTTTTATTATATAACTAATGTGTATATATATATATATTGTAATTGATCAATATTGTCGTTGATGTACAAAAAATCAATGGCTATAATTAGGTATCATTTAATTCGTGGACTCATTTGATCCCTAGATATACACGTATAGCTGTTAAATTGAAAACAACTTATCAAATTAATTCATCTATGTGACACATGCAAGTGAGGTAGTTGTAAAGTGGCCATGCTGCATTTACTGCTTCATTTAATCAGCCGAAATTCATTTAGGAATTGCCTCATAAACAACCAACCAATACATCTATCCTCACCCAACCCACACCCCCAACCTACGCAATATATATCTGCATTTGCAAATTTGTGTTACTTGTATTGTCTTTCATTCTTATTTTTTTAAATTTTTTTTTTTCAGGAAACTAAACATGGAACAAGAAAAAGGGAGCAGAGTGAGCGTTGATTCCCTACTGAGCGTGGTGTCCAGCAAGCCAACCGAGCCCGGAAAAATTCACGAGCTGTCATTGGTGGACCAGGCGATGAGCCCTTACACGATCCATCTGGTGTTTTACTACCGTTCAAACCCATTCAGCCACGGCCCAATGCCTACGGACCTCGACAATCTCCGGGTGTCCCTGTCCCGCACGCTGGATGAGTACCCTGTCGTAACGGGACGCCTGACCCGAGGGCCCCACGGCAGATGGCTGGTCAAGTGCAACGACGCTGGGGTGAGGATGGTCCAAGCGACCGTGAGTTGCCCACTGGACGAGTGGCTCGGATCTGCTGACGCCTCCGAGGAGAGGGATCTGACGGTGTGGGAAGACATGCCCGCGGACCCTTGCTTTTGGTCCCCTTTCCGCATCCAGGTCATTTTAATTTTTAATTTATGAAAATAATATTACTCATTAGGTAGGAGTGAGTTGGTATATATGTGTGTCAGAAAATTGATTAATTTCGTGTAGAAATAATATACTATAAGTTAATTAAAGAATTTGGGTATGGTGGTGGAGACTGGAGAGTTTTAATATATGGTTCGAGTAATTAATTATATATTGCAGATAAATAATTTCAAGTGTGGGGGCTTGGCAGTCGGATTGAGCTGCACTCACATGCACGCGGATATAACAAGCGCGGCCGCACTAATGAAGTCCTGGGCGGAGGTCCACCGGGCACAACCACTCACCAACCCCCCCATTTTTCACCAACTCCCGCGATCGCCCTCCTCCGTACCCGCAAACGCTAATGTCGGTTATTCCCCAAAACTCGGCACCGCCACACTGAAATTCTCGGCACCAGCCATCGAGAGACTCCTGTCCCAAGTCCGGAGCCAGTGCCCCAACGCCACCCCCTTTGATGCCCTTGCTGCTCTGTTCTGGTCCCAACAGCTTCAAGGATCAAAACCCCACAATCGCTCCCTTTGCGTGTGCGTCGACTCGAGAGAAAAGGAGCTAGAGCCCCGCGGCCATTTCGGGAACGGTTTTATTTTCTCCCTTGTCAGCGCGGATGAGGAGGAGCAATCGGCCGAATTAGGTCAACTGGTCGACTGCATCCACCGACATGTGGCGGGACTCGGTGGGGATGGCGACTTTTGGTCCGGGACGTACAGCCCCCACCTCACGTGTGTTGATTTTGAGGGGTCGACCATGTACGACGTGGAGTTCGATAAGGGTGAGGGGCCGGTCCACGTGAGCTGCCGTGTGGGGAATTTGGATGGGAAAGGGCTAATCGTGGTGATGCCGTCTCCCGGGGGCGGGCGCACGGTCACGGCCGTACTCCCCGAGGAGCAGATTGCGGTGCTGTGCCAGGATGGGCCAATACGGGAACTCCACCCCACTTTCCTATTATCTTCACCCTCCTAAACTGTGGCAAAAACAATAATGATAAGACGTCGTGCATCTTCAGATTATAATTATTTGTCACTTTTACGTTGGGTGATTTTGAAGTTAAAACATGTTTGTCATGAAGACATTTGACTGATTTGTTGTGGTGCATCTTCTTCTTCACTTCATTTGTCAAAACAAATTCTATCTTCTCATTGTAATAAATGTGCTTTTTGCGACATGCCCAATAAAGAAGATACAATTCTTGAGACGTGTTTTGCGTATCAGGTGCTACATATACTGATATTGAATTGGCCAATTTTATTTTTTCCCTTCAAAATTCATTACAAGCTTTTCAAGAAACAATCAAACTTTCTTGTACAATTTTTATTTTAACAGCCAAAATTAATGACATTGATTGATGAGCTAATGAGAGTAAGTTCGTCTATTGTTCCATTTCGTGGCAACATTTAAATGCCCTATTTGCAATTCATTTTATAAGGTTTTGGCGTAATAGTTGCCTCCCTCTTTGAGGGTATAAGATAAGCAATTGCATTGGGAACAATTAAGACTCTATAGTAAAGTCAACTTTTTATACATGACAGACAAAAAATATCACATGTCTTCTATTTGTATGTTGCGTTCGTTGTACCGTACAAATTAAAAAATAGTGAAAATTAAACCAAAAAAAAAAAAA